GGAAGCACAGTGGGGAATCAAACTCCTATACCAGATACTGAGCTATCTTGAGCAAGTCAATCTTGTGAGACATAGAGCAGATGGTACAGTATATATTGGGTGATGCTCCAGTGGGGGATGAATTTGTATTGTTGTTGAGTCCAGAGGAAGATGTCAAAACTCTTCCCTCTGTCCCCACCACCACAAATCCAATGTGGCCACAAAGTGTTGGAAATATATTTAATGGGGGCGGGGGAGTGCCAAGAGACATCGCATTTTTGACTACTGTGGAATGATGAGTCATGTTTAAAAAAAACTCCACCAGAAGAAATCTGAAAGATTGGAACTACTCTGAGAAGGATATGGAAAAACATAAACCTTTTTAACAAGGAGGAGGTTAACAAAACTTTCAGGACACCCGAGGACAGATTTTGATGCAGTTACAACTACAGTTTCTGCCACTGTTTATCATCTATACTGCACCAGCAGCAGAACACAGAAATGATTACACCATCTGGATCAGACAAGCAAAACATTGTGGAGAATAGAGACTTTTAGATTGGCAAGGAGTAGCTGGATGGTCTAAGATAGAAGAGGAGTTGACATGACCTAGAGGCAGATGTAAAGGGTACTGAATCGATTCAAGGAGCACCCTGCTAAAGACGTTGGAGAGTGGAAGATTGGAGAGAGAGGTTGGATTTGGGAAAGGAGAAGAGATGTTTGTTCCAAATGAAGAAGAAGAAGCTCTGAAGTCAGGCATTGGACCAGACCTTGAAATAGTTTCTTTTGGAGGACAATAAGTTGAAAAACAAAACCACTGAAATCTTCCAACTGGCTATGTTGATAGAAGATGTGATAAAACAACTGGTGGAAGGACATGATCTCTAGCCCCATGGTAAAGAATCAAGCTTTCAGGTCTAATGGTATATTTCCAAGTGGACCTGAATCCTGGCATTTCTCTTGTTGTGCAAATGTATTCTTGGTTTAGCTTTCCTCTCAGTGCAAACAGGGAAGGTGGAAAAATATAGGAAACACTTGAAAAACTAAGATCTTTGACTACAATCACTGCTAAAAGAATTTCCACAATTATGGTATTTTGGATATAGAACAGTGTCTTGGGCCATTTCCCAGATCCAGGATCCAAAACATAATGCATAGAATCAATCCTCTATTACCAAAGTCCCCTCTTCTTTGAAAATGAAATATCTAGGACCCTATCTTCAAAAAGGACAAAAAAGAGGAACCTGGGAATTAATGGTTGTTGTGGGTTTTTCGAGCTCTTTGGCCATGTTCTGAAAGTTGACCAGAGCACAGAGTGCTGTCCTCTGAAGATGCCGGCCACAGAGACTGGCAAAACGTTAAGAAGAACAACCTTCAGAACATGGCCAAAGAGCCCGAAAAACCAACAACAACCATTAGATCCCAGCCGTGAAAGCCTTCGCGAATACATTAACCTGGGAATTACGCGCCAGTCAGCCTGACATCAATCCCAGGGAAAATTCTGAACAAATCATAAAACAGTCACTATGCAAGCACCTAGAAAACAATGCAGTAATAACTGGAAGCCAACATAGATTTTTCAAAAACATTTTTTGATCAGGTAACTTCCCTGATAGACAATGCTCTAGACGTAGTATATCTTGACTTCAGCAGTGGGCTACAGAATCATACTCAGAGGGTGATGATTAATGGCTCCTTCTCAAACTGGAAGTAACAAGTGGGGTTACCCTGGGCTCAGTCCTGGCTACAGTGCTCTTCAACATTTTTATTAATACTTTGATGATGGAGTGCAGGGAATGCTTGTCAGATTTGCAGATTACACAAAATTGGGTGGAATAGCTAATACACTAGAAGACAGAAACAAAATTCCAAATAATCTTGACAGGCTGGAGCACTGGGCAGAAAACAACAGAACAACAAACAGTACTGCATCTCAGAAAAAAAGAAACCAAATGCACAATTACAAGATGGGGGACACTTGAGTCAGCAATGCTATGTGCGAGAAGAATCTTTGAATTGTCGTAGATCACAAGCTGAATATGAGCCAACAGTGTGATGTGGCTACAAAAAAGGTAAATGCCATTTTAGGCTGAAATAACAGAAGTATAGTTTCCAAATACTGTGAGGGGCTAGTTCCCCTCTGTTCAGCACTGTTTATGCTTCTCCTTGAGTGTTGTCTCCAGTTCTGGACACCACATTTCATGAGGGATGCTGACAAATTGGAACAAGTTCGGAGGAGGGCAACAAGGATGATCAGGGGGGTGGAAACCAAGCCCTATGAGGAAAGACTGAAAGAACAGGGCATGTTTAGCTTTGAGAAAAGAAGACGGAGGGGTGATATGATCATACTTTTTAAAATACTTGAAAGGCTTTCATACAGAGTAGGGGCAGGATCTGTTCTCTGTCATCCCAGAGTGCAGCACGTGCAATAATGAGCTCAAGTTACAGGAAGCCAGATTTCAATTAAATATCACCTCCTAACTGTTAGAGCAGTAAGACAATGGAACCAATTACCCGGAGAGGTGGTGCGTGCACCAACACTGGAGGTATTCAAGAGAAACTTGGAAAACCACCTGGCAGATACCCTTTGATTTGTATTCCTGCATCGAGCAGGGGGTTGGACTTGAAAGCCTTATAGGCCCCTTCCAACTTCACTATTCTGTGATTAGAGGAGAATCTATTATATAAATTAACTTTTTTTAAAATAAGGTAACTAGTTTGTTTTTTCTGAACTTGCAAAACTTAGCTTAAGAATAAAAAGTAACTGCACTGATGATTAAATAGAATTGCATTTTGATCTAAACTGTGTTACATAAGGATCACAGAACTCTGTGAAATACTATTCTAACTGCAGTTTGCCATAATGTCATTTTGACTGAATTTTCTGAGTTAAAACAGACCTTGCAAATGTTACTTTTCAGACTAGAGCTCCCAGAATGCCCCTGGCAGCATGGCCACTAGACATTTTGGTGGAATTTTAGAAGTTGGAGTCCAAAAATGCTACTTCTCCAAACTCTGGTTGAAAATTTTAAAATAAATTGAAATTCAGTTTGGACACTATCTGCTCTATACTGGACTCAAAAGAAACAAAGCGAGTCCTAATCATCTTCACATATAAATGTGTCCCATTGATCTTTCTAGACTTTCTTATGCTTAAGCATGTTTAGGATGGGGCAAATGAAATCATGACAGTGTTAACAAAATTCAACACAGAAGAGTTTGCATGATTTCCCTGTAATTCTTAAGGCACGCAGACAACATATCTAAGACTAGGTTTAGTCGGAAGCTTCCTAAAATGGACGTACACATAAAAGAATAAAAGACAATCTTCCAGTTGTTATTGACAAATCACATTGTAATTACACTATTAACACCAGACATATACAGCGCAAATGTTGGAAACCAAAGTCAAATGCTTCTTGAAAGATAAGAAGGAACACTAAGGGACTTTAGAACATACATCTTGTCTCTTATAATAAATGTCTATGAGATTTTAATTCTTCTCTACAGTTCAGCTAGAGCTCCCTGGAATGCTAGCTTCCCCTAATCAGGGATTGGAAACCTGTAGCTTTGCAGACCAGTTGTTGGAACTCCCATTAGCACCAGACAGAATGCCCAAAGTTTAGGTGGATGGAGTTGTAGCTTAGCAAAATTTGGAGGTCTTTGCATTCACCATCTTTGCTGCAAATATTAATTAAAAAATAATGACAAGAATCATGGGATCTTAGATTGCGCCACTTTTCTTGCTGAAAAAGTATTATTTATTTTATTGATTTGGTTTATATTCCATCCCATTAGTGCAAGCACTACTCTGGGCAGTTTACAGATTAAAACCAAAAACCCCACAGGACCCCACATAACACCCTACATTCAATCAATATGGCAATACACAATTACCTGTATCAAGTCTGAAATTCATATAAAAAGAAAAAGGAAAGAAAAAGAATTACAGCATCCTGAAAATTCAGTTGTAGAAGGCAGGCTTGAATAATTCTGCTATTACAAATTTCCTGAACATAAGAAGACCAATTATAATCAATGATGGAGCCCAAAGCAATAAAGGGTCCACCTAAAAAGGTCCATCTTTTTTTTAAAATGACAAGTATTCACAAAATTATGAATATTGTGTCCATATTTGACATTGACTGAACCAATAGCCAAAGCATCATTATTTGCCAAAATTACTACAAACACCCACTTATGCTGTATACCATGTTTGGGATAATGCTCTACTGATTATTGTTTCATCAATAGACACTGTTTGCATTCCTGGTTGAAATAATCCACATCTAATTAGAGAATGAATTCTGTTTCCTTTCTCACCAAAGGAAATTGCTGTGCACTCTTGTAATTTCCAAAACATTGCCAAAAGAGCTTAATGAAACAAAAAACATTGTCTTACCTCTTTTAGATCCCATTGTTAATCCTTAAGCATTCTTCATGCTGGAAAAACTTTGGATGTTTTCTTTGCCAGTAATTGCAAGTGGTTGAAAACATTAGCACAACAAGAATGGAAAGAGAAGAAGGAAAACAAATAACAGGGGGAGAAAAGATGACAACAGTGAAAGGAGAGAAAAAAACATGCAAGAAAAAAGTAAAGAGAAATAGCTCAGGATGGAGAGAATGAGGGCCAAAATAAAATATAGAATTAACACAACATTAAAAGTGGAGCTCCTTTATGAGAAAAATACTGATTGTTTATTCTGACATGAGCTCTGCTAAATCCTTGTTCGGAAAATTAGCCTGCTTTTGTTTTGTGTTTGGGAAATAGCACAGCTTAGTTTGCATGTTTGATATCTTGGGCAGTTAATGCTGAAAAATTTGCATGCCTGGAGGAAATATGCACGTGCCTAGTGATCTGATCCACTGCCTAACAGTGTGTGTGGTAGGGGAATTAAAGAAAAGAAAGATAAAAAAATCATGGAGGAAGGTGGAAAAGAGAAAAGAGCAGTTAGATTCTGAAGAGAGCAGGTGGCTACAACATTACTTCTGCCACCACTGAAATTGGTGGTTATGCTTACCAAGCATTTGGCTTCTGCAGGCTGGAGGGATTAGCTGGTGCATGACCACCTTGCCCTGGCAAAGCCTTCTGTTTCCAGGAGTCAAGGTCTGAGTCTGCAGGTGGCTCTCTCAGGGATCCGTCACAACTGTAGTGTAAAACCACTTCTTCAAATTTGGAGTATATGTATAAACGTGAAGGAAATAGCTGCAAGGAGGTGGCCTCTTTGGGTCTCTTCCTGCAACAATACAATAAAATAAGATGAAATTATTTTTGTCTGTAGCTAATTTGTGCCACTTCTAATATTCAGTGTCTAAGGACTTCATTTCCGTACCATTTTGTGCCGTCACTTCTTTGAGGCACAAAATGACTGGTGTTTTGAATCACAAAAGTCTTATTTCCTAAACTGCAGAAAGGGGAACTCCTGTTTTTCTTCTTCTTCCCAGGAGGAGAAAAGCACAACCTACTCTAGAACTATCCACAGCAGGTCCAGCTCTAACTTACAATCACAGCCAGCCAATTTTGCTACCTGACAGAGAGACAGTGGCACCTGGTTCCCACTCTGACTGGTGAGGCGTAAGACGTAGCACCCAATCATGGGCAGGCTCAGGGGTGAGAGGCAAAGCCAGGGACAAAAGAGTGGGCGCACACAAACATAGGTAGATACGGAAGCATTCGCTCAAACATTACTCCACCCCAGCTCATTCACCCACTCTACAACCTAGCTGAAGAGCGGAAAAATATACACATCCCAAATTGGAAATGCTGCTGTTGTTGCTCCGACATTTTCCATCTTCTCTCCCTCTCATATTCTCACATGAAGTATGGGTTCAACAGGAAGGGAACACAGGTGGGGACCTGACTGTTCACCTCTGGTAAGGAGGCAAGCAAAATGGAGTACTCTGCAGCTGAACTCTGCTCACACCCTAGGGTTCAATCCCAGGTAGCCGGCTCAAGGTTTACTCAGCTTTGCATCTTTCCGAGGCTGGTAAAATGAGTACTCAGCTCACCCGAGGAAGGGCAATGTGTAGCCTGCACAGCTAACTTGTAAACTGTCCAGAGAATGCTTTAAGTGCTATGGGTGGTATATAAGCAGCACGCTTTAGTCTGTGCCTGAGGTAGGTGGTCCATTAGCATCCTACAGTGGTCCCAAAAGACCAGCTTCCAATGGGCACAATATAAGACAGTGCTCCTCCATTACATGTACAGAAGAAAATAGAATTAACAGCTAAATCTTCTTTCAAGATTATATTGGCCTACAGCAGGCCAGCGTGGAAGGTACAAGGCAGGCTACCTGGAATATACAACTCTGTCCTCTGAATGCCATTGCCTCCTCCACGCCATGCAGAGGCAACCACTTTTCCTTCATAGCAGGAAAATTTGCAAGATACAGCTTCCATACAGTGCACCAGAATAGTACACCAGAATAGTTGGATTCATTGTAGTAGTTTTAAGTTCCCTGGCAGCTTCTAGACAGAGGAAGGGAGGTGCATTGCCATGAAATGTTGATAGCGGGGAACAGCACTCCTTGCATCAGTCCACAAACCACCTGTACTCTTAGCTGAATCATGGAGTCAAGATCACACATTTCTCCTCAATAACAGCTGAGGTGGGAAGTAATATACTTTGGTGTTTATCCAAGAAATTCAAGGGTTTTACAAGATTGGGCATCTGTACCTCTTAATTCTGTCTTCTCTTGTTCCTTTTTGTTCCGGAAGAGTGTGGGATTATCTGGATGATTTGGGATTCACAAGAACTGGCTGCAAGAAAATTCAGGGAAGGGGGCTATGTTGACTCCACCCGCACAAGGCAATGCAGTCTTAACAGAGCCCAGGCTGAGCAGAAAGGCAGGAAAAGGGGGCTTTAACTTTCCTTCCACCTTCACCCCAGTGTTTTCTCCTGGTGGCACCACTGTCCTCAGCTGATGTTGCTGCTGCCTTCTTACTTGTTAGTAAACTGAGTAAACCTTGCTATATTTGGATCTGTAGCACAGGAGAAGAATGCCTTTAACACAATCTCCGGTGTGGAGAGAAAGATTGCTCAAGTGAAAGTTAAAATAGATCACACTTAAGAGGAGAACTTTTTAAGCCTGTGTGGACAGGCCCTCAGTGTCCATTCTGGGGGAAGAAAGTTAAAATAGATCACACTTAAGAGGATAGGCCGGACTGCACCACATTCCCCAGTGTGGACAGGCCCTCGGTGTCCATTCTGGGGGAGCATTAGCAGGAGAGTGTTAACTGCATATACTTATAGATTTCTCAAAGCCATCTGGTTGGTCACTATGGCAAGAGAGATGGACTGTAGATTAATGTCATAGGACTTATGTTACTCTTGCTGCTGTTTCTCTTGAGATACTTGAAACTATTTAGCACCATACTATTGTCAGAAGCTTGTCCTGAATGAGCAAGATCTAATTCATGAACAGCTCTGGCAACAGAACCAATGGTAAATTAGTATTAATGTGAATGCACTTGTGGCTTACCTATGCCTTATGCTTGTGTAATATGATTTTTAAAAAACCCAATATTCTAAGCAGTTTATAAGAGCCACTCAAAACAGACAATCTGCACTGCCAACAGATAAGACATAGGAGGGTCCAGCTGAAGCACACACGCATATCTGGAGGGGAGGTTCTGTTCTAGGTCATTCCATTACCATCTAATGTACAACTAAGAATGTGGAAACACAGGGGGCTTGGGAAACCTTGGAAGTTCAGCGTGAGACATCCTCCCGACTCCATCTATAAGCTGTTCCCAACTAGAAAACAGCAAGCTGTCTTATACAAATCGGGCAAACTTGATTATCTGCCTGTAACAGCTCTCTGTTTGCTACATTGGCCAGCATGTCTATTCAGGGTGAGAAGTATGGAGCTCTCTGACTTATCCAGAGGTGCCAAGGGATTGGATCTGGCCTTGCCAACAATGTGGTCGGACACTGAGTTACGACATTGGTACAAAGGACTATTGACTGGTGGGTTCCAGAACATCCTTCCTAGGTGGTCCATTTGGCTCCTTCTGTTCTGGCATGTTAAAGCACCAGTCAAGCACTCAACTTGCACGCAGACAGACAGATGATTGACACCTAGTTTGTTAGCTGCAATTTCCTGACACACTTTACGTGAGTTCACTTATTCCATAGAAAAACTCCAATAGGATTGTTGCCATTGTTTCTATTTTCTTTTTCTTATACGTAAGCTGGTTTGGTAAGGTCTTTCTTCAGGCTTAAAAGCAGCACTAACAATCGTTCTTCTTGCTGTTTCAGTTACAGCAGTCTCATAATACACATGATTGTATTACAAGAATGAGAGAGAGAGATTAAAGAAATGAGAGATTCTAGATAAGCCATGTCGTATAATGTCTACAGTTATTGATATATATTAAAGAAATCTGTATCTAGACACTTTGGGGCTAAAACACAAGCACTGTAACAAATACATGTAATCCAAATCCAAACATGCTTTGTCTCCTTAACTTCATGAGGAATAAGCACATTTAAATTCAGATAACCTAGTTCCCTTTGGTCATGGAAAATCTGTGAAGCTTCAGGGTGCTATTCCTTTGGGCAATCTGCAATGTTTGTTTTTCACTAACTCACAGATGTGTTACATAGATATCTGCTTAAAGGCATGCACAAGTGTGCTTGTTAGTGTATTGGACTTGGATTTAGAAGACTAAGGTTGGAAACCACTGTCTTCTGTCAGCTATGAAGCTCACAGAGTGATTTTGGGCTAGTCACCTTCTCTCCGCCTGACCAACCTCACTGGGTTATTGTGGAGATAAACTGGAGAAGATATGAGCCACATACGCCACCATGAGATCATTGGGGGAAAGGCAGGATATACAATTTACAACGACAAACACCTTCCAACATCTTTGCAATAGTGGGGTATATCTGTTACCAGAATTGCACACTCACACATAGGCTTATACAAATGACTATGGATCATACATGACATAAATCTGAAGAATTCTAAAGAGGGACAAAGAATATGTGAATCAGATGTGGGGAAACTAACCTGCTAAATGTTGTTGAGATGTATCTTCCACAACCTTTGACTATCAGCAATGAATGTGGTTGGTGCACCAGTTTTAACCATCAAATGCAATTCCTGGCCATTGCTAAAACCTGGGCATCCAAAACTCTAAACAAGCTTAAACAAGCTATCCCGGAGGCTTCATATAGGTGTTAGATAGCATAGGGGACAAAATTGAGCCCTGAGAGATATCACAGGCCAATGGGCAAGGTGTTGAATAGGAGTCCCCCAGCAGCATATTCACAGCTCTTCCCCCCAGAAAGGACTGGAGTCACCATAAAACAGTGCCACCAAGTCCCATCCCAAAGAGAAGGCCAAAAAGGATACCTTGGTATGATGGTATCGAAGGCCACTGAGAGGTCCAGTAGAATCAACAGACACACACTCCCCCTGTCCAGTTCCCAGCAGAGGTCATCTACCAAGGAGATGAAATCAGTCTCTGTTCCATAACAAAACCAGAAGCCAGATAGAAATGAATCAAGGTAATCTGTCTCATCCAGAAACCCCAGGAGCAGTGAAGACACAACCTGCACCAATATGTTGTCCAAGAATGGAACATTAGAGTTGCAGGCATTCTTGGATGAGATGGATAGTCTAGATCAGTTTCAATAGAGGTGTAGATTTAATATTGAAATGTACTGGTCACTCTGCAAAATGATCTCTGACAGGGCGATTATAATCCTGCTGGTGCTCCTGAATCTTTCCGCAGTCTTTGCTACTGTTGATCATGGTATCCTTTTGGGAAGACTATCGATATCAGGGATCCACTCTGTGCTGGTTGCAATCCATCCTTGATGACTGATTCGAGATGGTGCAACTTGGGTATGTTGTCTCAACTCCATGGAACCTCTTTTATGGGGTTCCACAGGGGTCAAACATCTTCCCAATGCTTTTCAACATCTATATGCTAAGAGAAGTCATCTGGAGTGCAATGCCACCAGTATGCTGATGCGCAGTTGGTTACAAAATTGTACTCAGGGAGTGCTTATCAATGGTTCCTCCTCGAGGTAACAAGTGGGGGTACCACAAGGCTCAGTCCTGGGCATGGTGATCTTCAACATTTTTATTAATGACATGGATAGGGGGTGCAGGGAATATTTATCAAATTTGTAGATGACACAAAATTGAGTGGAATAGCTAATAACTTGGATATAAAAAAATCTTGATAGGCTTCAGCACTGGGCTGAAAACAACACAATGAAATTTAACAGGGATAAGTGCTCATTTCTACACCTAGAGAAAGAAACCAACTGCACAGTTACAAGACAGTGGATGCTTGACTCATTATGAGTGAGAAAGATCTTGGAATTGTTGTAGATCACAAGCTGAATATGGGCCAGTGGTGTGATGTGGCTGCAAAAAAAGGCAAATAAGATTTTAGATTACATAGTCTCCAAATCCCTTGAAGTACCAGTTCCCCTCTATTTGGCACTGTGTCCTGTTCTGGGCACCACACTTAAAAAAAGATGCCAAAAAAACTGGAACAATTTCAGAGGATGGCAAAAAGGATGGTCAGGAGACTAGAAACCAAGCCTTAGGAGAAAAGATTGAAAGAACCGGGCATGTTTAGCCTTGAACAAAGAAGACTGAGGGAAGATATGATAACACTTTTCAAATATTTGAAAGGCTGTCATATAGAAGAGTAGCAGAATATGTTCTCAATCAACCCAGAGTGCAGGACATGTAAAAATAGGCTCTAGTTACAAGAAATCAAAGTGTGCTGCTTTGATTTCTTGTAACTAGAAATTCAACTAGAATTGTAACTAGAAATTTTTGCAACTAGAAATTTCCTGATATCCAACCCAATTTCTTCAAATTGGTTTGAATATCAGGAAAAAACTTCTAGCTGTTAGAGCAGTATCACAATCGCATCAGTTACCTCAGGAGGTACTGTAGTAAGTGCTCCAATGCTGAAGGCATTTAAGAGAAAATTGGACAACCATCGGTCACATCTGCTTTGATTAGGATTCTTACATTGAGCAGGGGGATGGACACGATGGCCTTATAGGGCCATACCAGCTCCATTATTTTATGATTCTGTTCTTTAATTAAGCTGAAAGTCAGGAAGCAGCCAGAGTTGGAAGGATATGTATGACTCCTGTTTTAGATTCCTCTTGAGTTTCTCCTGGAATAGTAGAATTGTCATCTTTGAAATATTGTTATGGTCTAGTAACTATTTATTGGCTTGATTTTTCATGCTTATTTTCATTCTGAATGAATTTATTGAAAAGACTAGTACTAACGCACTGACCTTCTGTGATGAGTTGTTTATTGCATTAACAGTGTCAGTTATAGTTCTACTTTCATAGTGTATATTTTTAAAGATCTAACAGTGTGGTTACAGCAAGAAAAAGCTCATATTTCAATCAAGTATAGTATGTCAGTTTTTTTTAAGGTGACTATATGACATAACATGGAAGCTCAGATTTTTTGACCCCCAGAAAGCGTGTTTTTTGGTTGGAAAGCAAGGTGCTTTACTGGTTGACAAGAGTCATTTAACACACTTACGAAATCAATCTTTCAGTCTGAATCATTTTGGCATACGAGAACGCTTTGCAATTTAACAAAGCATGAGGGAGGTAAATGGGAAAGCCTAAAGTACAGAGTTGGAGGCAAGAGGCGTGTGAGATGTGTAATCTAAGTGAGAAGCAAAGTCCTTTCATTGAAGCAAAAACATGGATCCAAAGCACAAATCCTCATGGCTCCACATGATTTTTATGTAGGATCATCCGCAAATATCGATTCAATCATAGGCACTATATCCGCCGCCAGATTGGATAGTAGTTTGGAGATGATCCTATATAAAAATCATGTGGATTCATGAGGATCCATACTTTGGATCCGTGTTTTTGCACTACTGTGAAGCCATGTGCAGAAAGACCCATGATTTCTGGGGGGTAGTCTGTGGGTACAAATGAAACCTATGATTTGGTTGTGGTTTGGGTCAGATCAAGTCTCACAAGGCCCCCTCCTTGTCTCTTTGCAAACATCCATGGTCTATCCTGGGTTGGTATTCTTTGGAGCCAAAAAGGACCAAAATATTTTCAGGAGTCATGTACTGGTCTATTTCTCCTCCCAGTCCCTAATAGCTCTCTCTTTCTCTGTGTGTCTCTTTTCCTGAATGCTGCTTATCTCTGTTCCCAGGGAACAGCTGGAGCATTCTTAAAAAGACAGAATCAGCCAAGCTTTCCAAAGGGACAATTTTGCTAGGAGACCCTCCCTCTCCCTCAGCACAACAGCGAGTGGCCAGCATTAGGGCAAGCAAGCAGGTGGGTGGAGGGCAAAAACTCAGTTACAACCATTTAAAAAAACCATGTAGCCCCAGAGTAACAAAGGTTAAGAACCACTGTGCTAGCAGACCCTCCCTCTCCCTCAGCACAACAGTGAGGGCCAGTATTAGGGCAAGCAAGCAGGTGGGTGTCAGTTACAACTATTAAAAAAACCCATGTAGCCCCATCAACAGATATATAATACAGCTTAAAATTGATTTAAAAGTTTTCCCAGGAGGATGCATACACCAACTCAAAGACTATGTGACTAATCTTGTGACTTAAAACAATTTCAAAACCCCTGATCCAGCTATCAAGTTATTTTCACAGTGTAACCACACTCTTAAAGGGGCAAGATGAAATAGGAAAAATTGGGCAAGAAAAAGGACTGAGCCACCTTCACTTGGAATTTCTCCTCCTCAGAAGTGGCCTTTTATTTACACCCCAAACTTATATTGTGGCTTATTTGCATTTATGATTAACCCCGAAGTGACACTGGTAAAGCCAACTGTGCGTATGCATGGTATATTAAATGACCCTGCCAATCCCTCCAGCACAGTAGCTTGAAAAACCTGTTTCTCCTGTAAGCATACATAGAAAGGATTTCAGTTTGCAACACAGAATGGAGCGCAACAGGATAGTTAAAATGTAGGTTAGATTAAAGTGTTTTTCTGAAATTATGAGAGGAAGATAAAAGGAATAACATCAACTGTGAGTCTACACAAACTTACCATTTTTATTAAAAGTATATTTACTGAACTCATTTGTTAGATACTTTTCTACTATTTAAGAGGAATAAGATAGAACAAAAGAAAATTAACAACCAACACAAAAAATTTAAAAGCATCATGAGTCAAAACAAACTGTCCAGCAGAACTGAAGGTGAAATGGAAACTAATGCATGGAATATCCCTACCCCACATCTTTAACATATAAAAAGAACTGCAGATCTCAAAAGAGAGATGATGCCACATCCTCAAAACTAATATAGCAGTGTAACAAATATCCTACTGTCCCTTTCTGTGTGTAGCTGAAAACTGGACCAGTGACTGTGAAAATCAAAATTGACTACATATCTTACTTTAAGCACTCTAACATTAGAATACTAGAACGGCTGTGTCCCATCAAAGTCTGATTTTAAAAATGAAATACAAGGGAAATCAAGGGCCTTGATTCCCACGACAACAAGCAGGTGGACAGAAGACTGAACAGGAAGGTACAGATCAACTGATTCCAGTCTTTCAAACAATGGTGAGATGGTTTATATTCTTATTCAAATAACAATAATTATGTTACAGCATCTGTGCATATAAATTTTCATATGTAATTATGTGTTGCTTTTAAAAATCTGGTTTGGTGATACTTTTCTTGTTTTGGTAATAAGCAGTCACCCTCGCAGATAAGTGGTTCCAACCTGCAGTACGATGGTGAGGCAATTTTCATATGTAATTATGTGTTGCTTTTTAAAATCTGGTTTGGTGATACTTTTGTTTTGGTAATAAGCAGTCACCCTAGCAGAGAAGTGGTTCCAACCTGCAGTACGATAGTGAGGCAGAAAATAAAGAACATGCCTATACCTAACTTTGAAAGAGAAAAAATATTATTATTCTTGGGGATTTCCGCTTTATTATTCATTTTTATTCTGGGATTGTATGCCGTGTTACATACAGCACTGATGTTACCTGTCTGTCATGGGTTTGGAGGGAAAGTTCCATCCTATGGGGAGTGGAAGGCGGGACATCAGGAGGAGGGGCTGTACTGTATATATATGTGGAGCGTGTGAGGAGACGCTGGGATGTGAAGAAGCAGCAGCTGGGAAGAAGAAGCTGGTGTGGGAGTCTGTGTGTCAGACAGGGTACTACTGTGTGTCAGAGTACCAACCTGATAGGTTCAGGTGTCTGTTGGTTAGCCAGAACTGATAGGTTCAGGGTCTGTGCTTCAAGTTAAGGGTTCTGTGTGAACCAAACTGTATGCATGTATGAATGAGAATAAGCCACGTTACTTTATCTTATTCACCTGATCATTTTATTTTCCCTGTGTGTTGTATTTAAATAAACCTTATTCTTTTATTTGTTAAAAATCCATCCCTGGTCTGTGTGACTTCTTATAGGGAATGGTTGGTGGCAGCCTAGTTAACGTGTGGCAGATCCCAGTAGGTCTGGGTTTGTCACATGCCGTTTTCCCCACGTTACTCATTTAATGATCTGAATATATAAATTAACATATATATTTCATTTTGGTAAAGCTCCATCTTTTTTGTCCTCATCCCTGCTGATGCACCCGTGGCCCCCAGCTTCTGCAGCCCGTAAAGGGGCCACCCCAAAACCAGTGGGCACTATAAAAGGCTGCAGCCTTATAACCCATTGCTCTCCATGACTTTTGGGAGCATTGGCCAGCAATGCAATCATCAAGAAGGAAGCCCCACCGAATGCAGCCAGGCTTGCTTCCGAGCAAACCCAGGCAGGACCGTGATGTGACAGGCTGAGGAGACACCCTCGCAGAGATGAAGCCAGAGAAGGTACACGCGTGCCCATTCCCAGACGCGGTTACAGGGATGCCCTCCCTCATAGACACAGGTACACACAAAGGGGGAAAAA